AATACTTTGGCCATCTCATGAGAAGACTCCCTGGAAAAGACACTGATGTTGGGAAAGTGTGAGGGCAAGAGGAGAAGGGGACGACAGAGGATGAGATGGTTGGACAGTGTTGAATTTGACCCAACTCCGGGAGGCAGTGGAAGACAGGAGGGCCTGGCGTGCTCAGGTCCATGGGGGTCACGACTAGTCGGACACAACTAAACGACAACAAGCATTTTAATGAAGCTGCAGAAGAAACAACACAATTGACTTGTGCTTCAAAGAATCAGAAGCTCTATTCAGTCACTCTACATGCATGTGTCCTCCGCACATGAGGTGAGCATGCCAGCCCCCAGCCCTCTGCTGTTGCTTTAATCATATGAAAGTGACAATATGAAACGTGAAGGCCACTGTATCCATGTATGTGCCTGATGTGAAATAGAACACACACAAAAACCTGGGCTTCATGTGGAAAGCTGTGTGTGTACATGCAATAGCATCTTCAGACTGTTGTTTTCACATAAGTGAAAAAAGTAGTAGTAGGATGTTCCCCTCATCAGGTATGGAAGGCACACACTTTCAGAATGACTGGACAGGACTACAGAACTGCAGAGTTAAAAGCTACACTGAGGATATTCAAGTCTCTTGCTAGTGTAGGAATTTGCAGCTAAAGCATCCCCAGCAATCATCCATCCAACTTGTATTTTTAAACACCCAAAAAGGGGATCCACTACCTTCAAAGGTTATCTGCTCCACTGTCAGAAACCTCTTATCATAGAAAGTTCCTCCTGAATTTCCCACTGTGCCTCTTTGACAGGACTGGGCTTTGATGATCCATAGTGTCCCTTCCAGCTCTGCAGTTCTAAGATACTATTAAAGTTTAGTTAGAACTACTGTATCTTTCTTGTAATTTGAAGCTAACAGATAAGGTCTTATTTCTGAAGCAAAAGAGAACAAGCTTGCTCCAATCAATCTTGAGTTATCCACAGAGCCATAACTAGGGTGGGATAACCGAGGCTTCGATTCAAGATCCCTAAAATTTAGAGAGCACAAAAACTTGCTGCTGAATAGGCATCATCTTACTGACCTCAGATACATGTAACACTTTTAGCCACTCTTGACCAGGCAGAAGGAAAACACGGAACAGGTGGACTCAGCATCATATCAATATGGCCATCACACACCCAGTTTTAGACATACTCTTGAAAAAAGAAATGCATACGCTTATTGTTGTTTTTGAAGAAAGAACCCAAAGTGGTGAAGTGTACAGACGGCAGGTGTGAGAACAGCTTATACACCTCACTTCTACAAGGACACCAAAGCTGATGTAAGCTAGCACTCTGGTTCTCTTTCAAGAGCACCACTCCAAGTCTAATACAGCTTGATGTTTATTCTTCTGTGCACACATCCTACTCTCTTTTGCACTTTCCTGTCAAAGTTAGTCATATTTATGACAGAATCTCTGACAGCTACATGGCCTGACTTCGATTAGTCCAGTACCACCCAGAATGGGGCCCGAAAGCTCGGCTTTCCAAGTCTAAATGAATGAGCACAAAATTCACTTAAGTTGTTGGCGAATTTTTTTTATTCCACCCTTGCTAGCTAGTCCCACTCCACCAGCTTTTTTGTCTCTATAAGCACATGTCACTTTAAAACCCTCCAGCCGGATTTGTATGGTTTGGACCTTTTATAGTCATGATCCTGCACTGGTTTGTATTTTTTAGGAGTCTCCACTACTTTGCTCAGAACTTTAGCCCTAGGAAATATCTAGAGACTAATTTTAATGCAAGGGCGGGCAAATATTGACTTATAGACCATATCACCCTCCCCTCCCAGTTTGGCCTTCAGCACCCAAAACTTCCTACGGCCCCCAATAACCCCCAAATTTGACAAAATTGATTAAAATATCTCTCTGAGGGATTTTTTTTCATATTACAGCCCCCCCATGACCCATGGGGGGATTTTTCAAAAACCAAAGTGATTGCTGGTCACTTCTCCTTTTTTAAAAAAAAACACCTCCCCATGGGCCTTAGTATCTCAAGGGTGCTAAGAGCATGGTGGCATTCTAACCACCACATATTATTGTTACCATTGATCATGCTAGTAACAAATTATATTAGTCATTATCCACACATTCTTATACCATTATAGTAGTTTAAAAAAAAGAAAATGAATCACAAGTTAAATAAATTTGCTCCCAGTTCATGAGCGCTAGGATCTGTTCTTTGAAGTGAAGAAGGAATTCAACCTTTGTACAATAACTGCAGCAGCAACAGAAATAGCATTTCATCCATAACCATCATCCATTTAGGGAAGGGTCATTCAGTGAGTTAGTACGATCCATTGATGATCCCATATACGCTTCCCAGTCCATTATAGTCACTAGTTAGAAAGGTAGATTGTAAGTGTTTAAAACAAGAAAGGAATTACAGGCCTTACATTTGCTGTAATTATTCCATGCCACAAGTAACTCATTAAATGCATATAAAACAGCCAGAAATGCTAAGATTAATAAAAATTCTGCACAATTACATTTTAAGAGAATACAGTACATGTGTCAGCTGTGAGCTGTTCTGCACAATTACATTTTAAGAGAATACATGCGTGAGCTGTGAGCTCAAAATCCTGCATCTTCTCTAGCGTGACTTAACAATTCAATGAATCAGGCATCCGGCAGCAGAGCCAAAGGTTGGGAGTTAATTCCCTACTGTGCCTCCTGGGAGAAGAGTCAGCCTGTGTAGCCTTGGGCAGCTGCACAGTCCCAGACCTAACCCAGAAGAAACCACTTCTTAATACTCTATACCTAAAAAACCCTTAAAAAGATAATCGAAAGTTAGAACTGACTTGACAGCATGTTATTATTATCATTAGCTGTAGAAGTGAAACCTACTATGTAACTTGAACCTTCCAAACCTCATATTTATTTAATAAGCTTCTATAGTTCAGATCATCTAAATGAACAACAAATTGCACCACAACTCAAAATAAGAATTAAGACCATTACATAGCCCAGAGGTCTAGTACTCCCATTACAGAGCTCTCTGTATGGAAAATATGAGACCGGCTGGTGCCTCTAATGTCCAGATTGACTTGTGACATGACTTCTGACCATATGGAGAGGTGCCATGTGGTGTCTTTCTCTTCTCCACATTTGCCAAAAAAAGCAGCATGCTTAAATGTAAATCGTTTGGGGGAAAAATATGTGCCCTAGTGAAAGAGCACCTGCTCCAAACTAGAAGATCCCAAGCTAATTCTTTAGCATCTCTGGGGCTGGGGGAAATCCATATCTGAAACCCTGATAAAGATCACACTACTGAGTTGAATGGACCTACGGTTTGCCTAAATATAACACAGATTCTAAAGAAGGAAGTCTCTCCTGAACACATACTTTCCCTCTAAACAAGGATGGGGAACTTTTGGTCTTCTAGATGGGGAGGGCTCTAATCAAGCCTAGCCAGGACAGCTAATGGTGAACGATCATGGGGGCTGCAGTCCAAGAACATCTGGACGGGCAGATGCCCTAAAAAGAGCTACAAAGACAAAGGAATTATAGCTTAGTGGCAAAGCACATCCTTCACATGTAGAAGGTGTCCCAGATTCAATCCATAATATCTCCAGCTCAAAGGATCTCAGGTAGGTCCTAGCTCACTCTGAGAGGCTAGCCTGTCATCCTTTTAGATTAGCTCCAGCTCAAAGGATCTCAGGTAGGTCCTTCTCCATAGTCACACTAAACTTCCAGTTCCTCACTCTGAGAGGCTAACCTGTCATCCTTTTAGATTAAATTCTGCCATTTGGGGCAAATCTTCCTATTCAGGTAGGCCCTCGCTTTTTACTAAGTTTTGCAATTTAATTTTATTTTATTGCTTTTAATTGTTGTTACGTCCCCACAGTAGTATATAAACACTAATATATTCTTGTGCACACATACATGTTTGAAATAAATAAATAAATATACAGCAGGGCTGAGCAGTTAGTCAATGTGCATATAATATTGGGATAGATAGGCAAATAATCTGACCTGGTACAAATTGCCCTCATATATGCTAAAATAAGACTGCTTAACGGAGGATGAAATTTATTCTTGCAGTGAGACATGCACTGGTCTCTCACTTGATAAAATACAAGAGTTGCATATTTAGATACCAGCTTGTTTCAAATTGGAGAGTCACCAAGACTCAAGACCATTGAGAAGCCATAATCCTGTGAATCAAAACCATCCTGCCTCACTACCAGATGGGCAGAGTGGTCAGTGCTCATTCTCGAATGCGGCATTTAACAAATGTTCCCAAGCAGCATTATTTATGGCATATATTTATTATAACATTTTCTCCTGCTTTTTTATTAAAAACCAGTGCTAACAGATGTTGCAAACCCTCACCATCAGAAAATGTATGCAGTAAAATCATTAAAATCAATAATCGGTCAAAACGGAACTGTTTAAAGGGCCAAACTGAAAAGACGCATCTTCATAGCATTCCTAAAAGTTGTGACAATGGGAACTAACTACTACTCTAGGAAGAATGCTTTCCACAGTATGCAGGGCCAACATGCAACATACACAACCTGTTCCAAAACCTATTTGTACGATTCAAGAAAAACCCTGAGACGGAACTTTGTCCCTCTCTGGTTAAGTCCTGTATCTCCCTGCCACAAATTGCTAAGGCAACTCTGCGGGTGTGGGTGTGCTGGTGAAGCCCTTTAGACCTTAATGCTTTTGCTCAGCCTTCTTTGTTAAAAAACACAAGCAAAAGGCAACCCCAGCTGTCACATTCTGTGACATTATCATAGGAGGAATACAATTATTGCTGAAACCCAGATCAGCCCATGAGTTGTCTCCAATGTTTTTCACTGTTTGCACTGGCTGAGAACTGGGGAAGCTTATCCAGACCCAAACATCCCAGTTAACATGGCACAAGTTTCTATACTGTCTCAATTTGCTGAAAGCATATGAGAGGAGGGGGGAAAAGATTTAGCTTAAAATCCAGTTAAAACTGCAAATGCCAAAGAAGGGAAGCAGTTACCTAATTGTGTGCTCAAAATAGATATCATCCACCGAAGCTGTGACGCAGGGGCAGCCAGCGTGCCTCTCGGCTGAAAAGGCAAACAAACCACATTAGCTACGTACATCATTGCACCAAACAGGGTTCTTTCTGTTTGTAGTAATTACGGTCACAGGCTTAAAATGGAAATAAGAAACCTTCATTGCAGGATAAAAATCAGCACCACAGGAGTATGCATAAAAACTACAGAGTCCAACAGATAGGCCTACTGTCAAGTCGTATCAAGATTACCTCATATGCAGGATTGGAAAAAAAATTCCCAGACACATGATCATCCAGTTGCATGAAAAGCCTTCCTTTGGCACACAGGAATTTGAAACATTTTTTCAACCCTTTACAAACCTGATTCCTGAAGAGTCAAGACTAGCTTTTTGATATTCGAATTATTTTCCTTTATTCAAAGATTACGTCTCGTCCAATGTGGTGATTACCTACCTATTTTATTTTTGTTAGCTTGCTAGCTCTCATTTTATTAATTAAGAA